GTGCATGTGTGCGTGTGTGTGTGCATATGCATGTGTATATGGAAACTTCCAGAAGGAAGTTTACTGACATTATAAAAAGCCTGTCTCTGGGTGGTGGGATTCTGTCTGTCTTTCTTTCTTCTTTATGCCTTTCTGCGCTCCTGGCTTCCTACACTCAAAACGTCTTGCCCTTTGGTCCCCAAGGACACCTGTCCCACACACTGTGGCTGAGGGGAGGTGAGGGCCGGCCTACCATGTTGGTCTTCTCCTTCTGAAGCCTCTGGATGAGCTTGTTGAAGAATTTGGTCATCTTGTTGGAGGTCATGTGCTCCTGCAGCTTCTCCCGGATGTCATCGTCCATCTTCCTCTTCACCTCCAGCTCCTGGAGGACGGCTTGCTGGACGGCCTGCAGCTCGCCGGTCACCACCGCGCGTTCCTGGAAGGCCAGAGTCAAGGGTGGGCATTGTTGACGGGGCCAACGACGCGGGCCAGGTGGGACCTGTGGGGGAGCAGGGAGCCCTACCTGGTGGCCCTTGTTCAGGGCGGCCTCCGACTCCTGCAGGGTCAGGGTATAGGTGTTGAACTCGCTCTGCAGGGCCTCCTGCTTGGCCAGGCACTGGGTGGTCAGCTTCTTCATCAGGCTGGCCTCCATCTCAACCCGGTTCAGGATGCTGGCCAGCTTCTCGTTCTTCTCTTCCTCCTTTGTGATTGATTTCTTATAGGCCTCAATCTCGTTGTCCATGGACTTGACCTGATGCTGGCACTCTCTGCAGAAACGGAGAGGGCAGAGCCAGGTATGTGCTGGGCACCAGAGAGCCCGCACACCGGGCTGCACCCCACGCAGGGGGGCTCGCTAATAGAATCCAGCATGGAGGGAAATAGATTTTAATAGGCACATCTTTTAAAAGTGGTTTTTGTTTTTTATTTACATATTATTATTTTTTCTTTAGAGACAGAGTCTCATTATGTTGCCCTCGGTAGAGTGCCGTGGCCTCACAGCTCATAGCAACCTCCAACTCCTGGGCTTAAGCGATTCTCTTGCCTCAGCCTCCTGAGTAGCTGGGACCACAGGCACCCACCCCAACGCCCGGCTATTTTTTTTTTTTTGGTTGCAGTTTGGCCAGGATCAGATTTGAACCTGCCACCCTTGGTATATGGGGCCGGCACCCTTCTCACTGAGCCACAGGCGCTGCCCCTATTTACTTATTTTTTGAGACAAAGTCTTACTCTGTTGCCCCGGGTAGAATGCTGTAGCATCATCATAGCTCACAGCAAACTCAAACCCTTGGGCTTGAGTAATCCTCTTGCCTCAGCTTCCCAAGTAGCTGGGACTACAGGTGCCTGCCACAGCGCCGGCTAGTTTTTCTGTTTTTAGTAGAGACAGGGTCTTGCTCTTGCTTTCGAACTCCTGAGCTTAAGTAATCCTCCTACCTCAGCCTCCCAGAGTGCTGGTATTACAGGCATGAGCCATCTCGCCTGGCCAATTGTTTTAATTTTTATAGATATTTTTACATACTCATGGGGCACATGATATTCTGATACAAGTGTACAATGTGTAATGACCAAATCTGTATAATTAGGACATCCATCACCTCCATATTTATCATTTCTTTGTGTTGAGAATACTCCAAATCCTTTCTTCTAGCTATTTTGAAATATACAAGAAGTTACTTCTTTTTTCTTTTTTTGCAGTTTTTGGCCGGGGCTAGGTTTGAACCCACCACCTCCAGCATATGGGGCCAGTGCCCTACTCCTTTGAGCCACAGGTGCCACCCCCTACAATAAGTTCCTTCTAATTATAGTCACCGTTTCGTGCTCATGAATACTAGAATATACCCCTTCTAATTATGCTTTTGTACCCACTAGACATATCCTGACTATTATTTACTAGTGTCTCAGTACAACTATTAGCCATTGAGATTCTAGGTTTAAGACTTGTTCATCTTTACATATAAATGTAATTTTATACTTAAAACTACTTATATGTTTATTTAAAACTTTCTTCATTTATTTATTTTTGAGATGGAGTCTCATTCTGTGCCCTGTGTAGAGTACTGTGGTGTCACAGCTCACAGCAACCTCCAACTCTTGGGCTCAAGCAATTCTTGCCTTGTCCTACTGAGTAGCTGGGACTACAGGTGCCCAGCACAACGCCCAGCTAGTTTTTTCTAATTTTAGTAGAGACAGGGTCTTGCTCTTGCTCAGGTTGATCTCAAGCTCCTGAGTGCGGGCAATCCACCTGCCTTGGCCTCTCAGAGTGCTAAGATTAGAGGTGTGAGCCACTACCCCCAGCCTATTTAAAAATTTAAAAAATACTTTCTTTTTGGACTAGAATGCTGCTTTCCATATCTTTCTCACATCTAACTGCAGGCCTTCAATTCTCTTCCTCAAGCAACCTGTTACTATTTCTTAAATGTCTTTCCAGACATTTCATGTATATATGCATTATCTTTGTGTACATATATGTTTTTTTCTCCACTTAAAAAATTACAAGTGAGACTAGGCACAGTGGTTCATGCCTGTAATCCCAGCACTCTAGGAGGCTGAGGCAGGAGGTTTCCTTGAGCTCAGGAATTTGAGACCAGCCTCAGCAAGAGCAACACCCCATTTCTACAAAAAATAGAAAAATTAGCTGGGCCTGGCGGTGGGTACCTGTGATCCCAGCTATGTGGGAAACTGAGGCAGGAGGATCCCTTGAGCCCAGAAGTTTGAGGCTGCAGTGAGCTAGACTGGTACTCTAGCCTGGCCAACAGAGTAAGACTGTTTTTAAAAATATTACAAGTGGGCTCGGCGCCTGTAGCACAGTAGTTACAGTGTCAGCCACATCCACCGAGGCTGGTGGGTTCGAGCCTGGCCCCGGCTAGCTAAACAACAATGACAACTACAACAAAAAACAGCCAGGCGGGTGCCTATAGTCCCAGCTAGATGGGAGGGTGAGGCAAGAGAATTGCTTAAGCCCAGGAGTTTGAGGTTGCTGTGAGCTGTGATGCCACAGGACTCTACCCAGGGTGACATAGTGAGACCGTCTCAAAAAAAATAAAAAATAAAAAATTACAAGTGGTTGCTTGTATATTCTATTTTGCACGGTAACTTCTCTTGTGCTATGTCTGAGAGGTATTCCATATTAGTATACACAGAAATTGCCTAAGTTTTTTCAATCCTTTTCATGTTGTAATCTGAACGATGAATGTGCCACGATTTAAAAATCCTCACTGGTACACAATTAGGCTTTGCTTGCTTCCTGGTCTTTTTCAAATTTCCCTATTGTATCAAAAAATATCCATGCACTTGAAAAATGGATACTTAAAAAATATGCCATGGTCACAGGGCAGAAGATTTAATATTAAGGCATCAGTTTTTCCCAAACTGATCTAGAGACTCAGTGTAATTCAATCACATCCTACTAGGTGCCGGTTCCCCCAGAAATTGACAAGCAAATTCTAAATTTAAATGGAACTCTGTAGGGCCTTAGAACAGCTAAAATAATTTGGTAAGAGAACAACAAAGGCTCACACTGTATGATTTTAAGGCTTTCTATAAAGCTGTAGCTGTTAAGACAATGAGTACTTGTGAAGAGTAAACAGATCAGTGGCACACAGAGTCTGGACACACACACACACACACACACACACACACACACGCTGACTGCTGGCAGAGGGGCCAGAGGGCTTCAGTGGAGAAAGCACAGTCTTTTCAACCAGCAGTGCCAGGACAACTGCAAACAGACAACAAAACTGAATGTGGACTTGTCACCAAGTTAAGGTGACAAAGCTCACACGCCCAACTGCGGGAGCTAGAAGACTTCGGCAGAAGACACGAGAGAAAGTCTTCACAGCCCTTAGAGATTCTTAGAGAAGACATACAAACACAAGCAAGGAAGGAAAAAGTTAATGACTGGGTCTCACGAAAATTTAAAACACACAGCCGATAAAAGGTGTAGCCAGAATACACGGAAAACTCCTGACTCCATCGTACATAAGCCACTCCATTTAAAAATGAGCGAAGGGCATTTCAGCAAAGGAGATACAAGAACAAGCATCAGCAAGGCGCTGACACCATCCCCCCTCAGGCACCTGCACACTCAGACCTCACTGTGGCCCCGTGACACGCCTACTCATGGCTTGAGTTAGTGGCCAGGATTATTAGCCTATTAAGCAGGGAATGCCTGATTCCCTGAAGTGTGAAGTTGGACAGGTGATATCCCTGGCATTTCACCCTGACACTTCTCGTTTCATTTTTATCATGAAGGTACATCCTCGGGCTTTCAAACCCATGTTTTGGTTTGTGATTATATCTTTCCATTTTGTGAAGCCACGGATAAGTAAAAAATTCACGTTATTTTCGAATCTGAGTTCCATTGTGGAACCAATGCAGGGCAGACAGCTGGAAATATCAACAAAACGTTTGGGAAGGACGTGGCTGATGAACGCACAGTGCATCGATGGTCAGAGAAGTTCTGTTCTGGTGACTGTAATCTGGAAAATGAGCCCCGTGGATGACTTGAGACTAAGATAATGAAAGCTGGAGTGGGGGCCGGGTGCGGTGGCTCATGTCTGTAATCCCAGCCCTTGGGAGGCTGAAGTGGGTGGATTGCCTTGCTCAGGACCAGGCTGAGCAAGAGCAAGACCCCATCTCTAAAAATAACTGTGCGTTGTGGCAGGCGCCTATAGTCCCAGCTACTTGGGAGCCTGAGACAAGAGATTCGCAGCCATGACACCATGGCACTCTACCGAGGGCAACAAAGTGAGACTTTGTCTCAAAAAAGAAAAAAGTAAAATAAAAACAAAAAAATAAAAAGAAAGCTGTAGTGGAGCGAATCCATCTCAGCCTACAGTGAATTAGCAGCAAGGTCTGAGGTGTTAGTGTTCCAGCAACATTGGACCATTTGAAACAGATGAGCAAGGTAAAGAAGCTGCGGAGATGGGTTCCGCGTGAATTAAACAAGCATCAGAAGAGAAGTCGTCTGGAAGCTTGCCTCTCTTTGCTATCATTACATAAAGGCAAATCATTTCTACCCCATATTGTTGTGTGTGATGGAAAATGGGTTAATTCTGACAATCACAAGTATTCAGCAGGATGGTTGGATTCAGTGCATGCCGACTGCAGCCATTCAGACATGACAAGAATGCTTGTGATTAAGCCGCTGAGAGGGGTCAGTAGGGGCAGGCCAGTCCACCTGCAAGGTAATGTTCATCACCACTCACTGTCCAGGCTTCTTCGTCTCTGGCACATGCGAGCTACCCTTGAAGGGGCAAAATTGTGCTGATAGTTCAGGTGCACACTTCATTTATTTATTTATTTATTTGAGACAGTCTCACTATGTCCCTCTCAGTAGAGTGTGGTGGTGTCACAGCTCACAGCAACCTCACACTCTTGGGCTCAAGCGATCCTCTTTCCTCAGCCTCCCAGGTAGCTGGCACTATAGGCACCTGCCACAACACCTGGCTATTTGAGTTTTTTTTGTTATTGTTGTAATTGTCATTGTTGTTTAGCAGGCCTGGGCCAGGCTCGAACCCGCTAGCCCCAGTGTATGTGGCTGGCACCCTAACCACTGAGCTATGGGTGCTGAGCCCAGGCACATACTTTAATTAGTTGTACTGCTTCTTTTTTGAAATATAATAAACTATACTTTTGGTTCAAAATGGGACGTTTTGGATTTAATGACTGATGAAATGACGGATGACCCCAGATGCTGTGGATGTGGGGCAACGTGGGCCCTGTGTGCTGCTGGAGGGAATGCAGATTGGAGCAAGCCACCTGGGATGCT